TCGTTATTGCATTTAATGTTTGTTTGAAAAGCCTGCAGACACAGAGCAACAGTCGTTCCATTATCATGAACGATTGTTCTTGACACCAACAGTCAATTCATATAGCTTCAGGGTTTCTAGTATGGTCTTTCCATTATCGCAAATGGTCGTAACATCACCACGAATGGTCATTCCACCACGAGGAACGGATTGACCATTGGCTCCTTAAAATCCATAAAAATTCCAGTAGCATGCATGGCTACCTGGAACGATGTCGTTCAGCCAAGAATGATCTTGAGCATGAATGGTCGTTCCACATGAAGAACGATCGTTCCACTTTTGAAGCTTGAATTTTCAACTTGATCTTCAAGGCTTGACTTCCAAGATTCGTCAAAGGCACAAAGAATTTGAATTCTAAGAGCTTTGACTCTTGACTTGGATGGAATGGGCATGTTGCTTAGCATGCTAGTGTGAGCGACTTGGCTTCATTTTGGACAAAAGCATGCATGGTCACATGGAACTATTGTCGTGCTAAGAGGAACTATTTTAGTGCTAAAAGGAACGTGCATCGGGCAACTTTGATATGAAGGAATGGTCGTTCTGGTATCCTACACGGTCGTTCCAAAAGGATAAAAACTACATTTTGTTTTTGGTTATGACTTTGTCATACCTAAACATGTTTGTTAGAAATCAATCAACTCTTTGATTAGTTTTGGCACATCAAAACACATGAGGCCTCCACAATCTCCCTCTTTTTGATTGATGACAAAACTAAGCAAACATTGAGTTTCAAATAAAAATACAAGTCCATTCACAACATGCCCAAAACAAAAATTAACAAGCTCCTGTTAGACCAGTCATCACGGTCACAAAATTAAACCTAAGTACCGTAGTTAGCGGTAAGCAGGGTCGAATCCACAGAGAGCAAGACTAACGACCTAATGTATATTGGAGTTAATGAAAGAGAAATTGGCAAAATGATTGATTAAAACTAAGGAAATTAATTACTTACAGGAAATTAAAAGCATTAAATAAATTGCTAACTAAAACTCAATATTAAAAGCGTTGTCGCTACGGGTTCGGTTTGACTCAAGACCAACTCTCACAATTCCTCTCCTCGCTATTCAATTTCCTAATCCTACAAGGCTAGGCAAATCAATAGAAATATCTCCCGGCAATCTAGGCATAATCTATCATGTCTCCCCGTCGTCTTAGTTACAGATCGATTGGTTAAAGCCTATCATTGACTAACCGAAAAATGCTAAACCCTTAAACACCACTAGTTGGTACAACGTTAACAAGTACAACCTACTAACTTGTATCATCCAATCAACTAATTACACAATAAATGCATTCCTAGTAGAAATGATATTAAACGCTACTACAACTTGATTGCAATCAGTACCGAAGCAATTTAAAGTCATAATCAACATTCAATAATCTCAAAACGACATTCAATTATGCAAAAAGTTATATATCAATAAACGTTTTCAATGGACATTATCAATTCAACACATCGAGCATCAGAATAATCTTAAAGTATCGCAAACAAACTGAAACGAAAACAAATATAATCTGAATACAAGAAACTTAACCAAATATCCAACATTCGGGCTCATCCAACTAGTCGAGAGCTGATGAGGAGATTAGTGGAGTCAATCTCGATCTCGCCTATACCGTAACGGACAACCGGGAACTCAGCCACTCATGGTGGTGATGACGGAGGTTGAAACAGTGGAAACGGAGCTGATCATGGCTAAGAAGAGGTAACCGACAGCGATGTGATGCTAAGAAGGGGCGAAAACGACCCACGGATAGCCCGGAATACGAACAGCCGCACTTTGCCGGAAAACGTTAATTTTCCGGCGGGTCTTCCAGAAAACGGTGGCAGAAATGGGATCCGAAGGTACCGATGGAAAGCTCTGGTGATAGGGAGTTCATATCAGGTCCTGGGGAGGTGAGAAGTCACCAGAAATGAGCAGGATCTGGGCTGGAAGATGAAGAGGCGCGGCGGAAAAATCACGGATTCCGGCGGTTTTCGCGGCGGATGAAGCAAGGGAAGTGTAGATCCGGCCGTGGGGAATGAAGATCTACCCTTGGGGAGCTGGAACGTCGCCGGAAAACGACCAAAACTGGCCAGGAAGACGAAACGATGCGGTGGTGGGAGACGAATCGTCGCAGTGGTGGTGCGTGATTTGCGGTGCTGACGGTGGCTGGTGAATGGCGGTGCACTGGGAAGACGAAGGGTCGTCGGAGGGAGACGAAGGGTCATTGGAGCGAGACGAAGGGTCGCCGGAAAACTGGGTGAACAGCCCCCCTGGAAAACGCGATCTACACTTTTCTTTTATAGAACAATTTATAAAATATCAGTTTAGTCCCTGTATAATTGAAAAGTGACAAAATCAGCCCCTTAAAACATGACATTTTACCCCCTAAACAGCATAAATGAGACAAAATCACCCTTAATCCATAAACCACAACCTAATATCAACTCATATACTTTCCAAAATCATTCCAAACACGTTAAATTCATAAGAAAAGTATTAGGAAGCGATTTTCGTGAATAAATTCATAAATTCTTTAATTGTCTCGATATAGCTTCAATTCAATTACACATAGGGTCTTTTTGTCACCAAAGTAGAGTCACTTTCATGACTCTAACAGCTCCCCCTTAGAATATGCATACTCCAAAAATAAAGTGAGCATAATGCTCCCCCTTACACTAAGCATATTCATTCTATTTTTCAAGTAAAAGTGTAACATGCTTTTTGAAGATCAAAGAAGAAAAACATATCCATTTCAAAAGATATTTCAAAATCTCACATAATCAATCAAAACGTTGCAAAAGATATATATACTTCAATATCTCACACAATCAAACTCAATATGCAATTATCTCTCTCCCTTTTTGTCATTAAGCAAAAAGATAACTTCGGTAATCTATCTTTTAATTCGGCCATTACCATGTTTGGTTGTCAGGTAATAAAAGATTCTAGTAATCTTCTAATACCAATAGTGATTACTGTAGATTATATGGGAGGTAATTTGATCACTGACTGAAAGAGTGTTATTTTTTTATTACTATGTAATATTTTGTTTATACAATTTTACCCTTAATTAATAAATATTTTGGGCACAAATGCCCACCAAATAACAATTAGCCCAAATGTGCGAAATGAATTCTGTAACCTCATAAATTATTATTTTTTTTACAGAAATGCCCCTCACTATTTACATGAATATTACCGAAAATACTCTCAACCACTCAAGACGATTGCATGCGGTGATCTGGCCATTTTCAGCTAGATCCATGGTCTAAAATGACCATATCCATGGATCTGGCAAAAAATGACAACCAAATCCATGGCTGTTTCCAGCCAGATCCATGGTTGGCCGAAAATAAACGACCAAAGCCATGGATATGGTTGTAATTTCTGGCCAAATCGGCTCACATCCAACCAGATTCAACCGGCTGTGCGCCGTTCCAACGATTGCCAAAGGCGGCTAATGGTGGTGGTCGATAGTCGTCTTTGGTGGCTGGGGGTATTTTTTTTAATTTTGAACTTTTGTTTTGGTTGGGGTGTTTTAGCTAAATTTTCAAATGTAGGGGGTTAAAAGGATACACTAAATAATAATAATAATAATAATAATAAAGGAAGGGCAATTTAGTAAAAGCCTCTCCCAATAATATTTTTATTGAGTAAACGACATTTTCCCACCCAAGGTTTGACGAAATCCCAAGTTGGCACCCAAAGTTTCATTTATTCCCTATTTCCACCCTTAAAATAACATTGTTAGCAATTTTTAGGGTATAGAGGATGCAATTACCATAATGCCCTTAACCCTCAATTAATAAATTATGTTTTAACCCCTACATCAGTAGAATTATAAAACTTACCATTTTATTTTCAAAATATCTCCATAACACCCTCGGTCACTACACAGCCTCTTGATTTTTGCCCGATCTGGGCTGTTTCCGATAGCGTCGAACCCCTTGGTCACCTCCATCACCTTCCCTATAGTTTTTCGTCCAAAACCGCTCTGGTTCCCTACTCATTGGCCCCTCTAATCACCAGTGCCATTAGGCTTAGTGTTTCTCTATTCTTCATCGGATTCTGGTCGATTTTGGTGGCAAAAATCCAATTGGACACCACCACTGCAACCAGTGTATCCAACTCTATAAAACCCCTATATCCTTAGCAACCATTTAGTCGCCGTTCACGGGCCGAGAGTTCGTGTTCATCGACCCTTTTTTGGTGAAGTGGTGGACGACAAATGGTGAGCTGCCGTGGTTGGGAAGGTTAGGGGATTTGTGGGGGAGGATGCGAGGAGTCAAATGGTGGTGGTGGTGGTGGTGGTTGGGGTTGTCACCGTTCAAAACGACCAAAAATCGGCAAAAACCAGTTGCATGTCGCGGCTGCCGTGGCCGGTGAGTGATGAGGGGTTGTGAAGGATAAGGTTTTGTAGACAGGAGGATGGGGGTTCAAATGGTGGTGACAAGGGTATTTTTGGTGGAAAAATCACCGAAAAAAGGCAAAAAACATCAGAGACGCTGGCTACTAACATGCGTCAGAGGACTATCAGAGGCGGCAATCTACCAACGTGCGTCGTCCATGCAAAATGACCAATTTACCTCTTTACCGTTACATCAAACATTTTTTTGTCACTTTAAAGGTGGGAATCTAGAATAAATGTAACCAGAGCTACCAACTTGGGATTTCGTCAAACCTTGGGTGTGAATATGTCGTTTACTCTATTTTATTCCTTCCAACCAAATATATTAATTATTTATACCAACCAATCTAACCAAACACATTTAATAAAACATTCTTAAAAATCTTCATGGTAATCTATCTTTCCATTAATATAATATTTTCAGTAATACAATATTTCTTGAATCAAATGCTATCATATATATAAATTATAAAATTAAATTTTATCAAGTATGTATTTAAAATAAGATAACATCTATCTAATAACAAATAAATGCACAATTATAATTTAACTAATTTTTATTCGAATAGAAACTGCCTAATATTTTAATTCACGGCTAAGAATTTTATTTCCTAAAAGCAAGGGGGAAGGCCATTACACTGTCAAATCATCATGTCCACGCATCTTTCCTTCGCTCTCACTGGTAACCCATTCTTCATTCTTAGAGTCAAAGACAACACACGCTCGGGACACTTGTCCTTACCCTGTACGTCAATCACAAACCTCTCTATTACTGATGCCGCTATTGATTTCATCTGAATATATGCCATTTCTTTCCCCAGACATATTCTCAGCCCCGCATTAAACACCGGGAACTTAAACACATTTTCCGGCCGATAAATTCCATTTTTCAGCCACCTTTCCGGTAAATATTCATGGCAATTCTCTCCCCATATGCTCTCCATTCGCCCCATCGCATATGCATGATACATAATAAACCATCCTTTGCCAATAAATGTACCGTCTGGCAACACTTCGTCCTTCATGCAAGTTTTCGTGTCAACTGGTACTGGTGGGTACAATCGCATCGTTTCGGATATCGCTGCTTGCAAATAGTGCATATCTCGTAGCTCGTCAAAACTGTAAATATCACCGATACTTTTTCTATTTCGGACCCGAATTGACTCTAGCTCCTTCAATATCTTTTGCTGAATATCTGGGCGGGAAGATAATAACCAAAAGAAGGAACTTAAAGCCGAAGATGTTGTGTCTCGTCCTGCAAGAATAAAGCTTATGACGATGTCTCGGAGAAATTCGCGTGAGTGATTACCATTTCCAATAAATCGTGACAATAAATCTTCATCAATGTTCTTCGCTTTTGATTCCATTCTTGAAAGAATAATTTCGTTAGCGAATTCATGAACTGTTGCTATTGATTTCTTCAGTATACGTTCTGAACCTATGTTAAAGAACTTCTTGATTTTCCATATGAGTGGTAACAGAGACCTATATCTCTCGGAACTAAGAACGGCTGCATCTTCAAATGCGCGCATAAAGTCAGAACGACTGGTCCCATCTCCGTCGAGACAACCCGGGTCAACGTTAAAAGCCACTTTACATATGTTGTCGAACGCAAACCGCTCAAAAATATCTTGTAAATCCAACAACTCTTCTGTTTTCGAGGCTTTGCTTAATATCGGAAGTAGCCTTGACAAAATCTCAGACCTAACGCTTTCCAGAACGAAATTTCTAAGGGATCTTGTGTTGAACTCGTAGCTAGCAGTTTTCCTCTGGACTTTCCACAACTCTCCATCGGAGTTGAAGATTCCTCGGCCAAGAAAATCTTCGAGAACCAGGATGAACCGATCGCCTTTTGGGTAGTTCTCAAAGTTAGTCTTGAGAACATGCTCGATGTTCGATGGATTCGCTGTGAGAACGCCGCACACTTTGCCAGGACGGAACAAAGTAGCAGAGTTAGTGGGGCAACGTTGAAGAGTTTCGGTTGACCAGTCAAGGAACCGGTGCCTGTTTTTGATGAAATCCGGTAAGACTCCGACAATAGGATAAAGTTTGAAGCCTTTGTTAACGTGTTTTTTGTTTGAGGTATAAAAGTAGAAGAAGTAGAAGGAGAGTGAAAAGAAGGCAAAGTAGAGGAAACTTTGAAGAGAGAAGAGTTCCATGGCCATAACAAGCTATAGACAAACTTTTTTATTTTCTTCTTTTCCTTCAAAATGAAAAGATGGACGATGGTGGTATTATAAACACTGCTATAAGGAGGTTTTCACATGGACAGCTCTGATATTTGATGATAGAAACAAGGAGACTCACATGTTTTGGAGTAAAAAAATTATACTCTTAATTAAAAAAAAAAAATTATGAAAAGCTTGTTTTAACACAGAATCTTAGTTACGACCACTAATATACCCTTAATTTATCTTCAATCTTATAATAAAAAGCTGATATATGGTTCATTATTATTATCCATATTTTGGATCTGATTTTTCAAATAACGTTTGGCACATTATTCCATAAATATTAGCCTATTTTTTTAATTCCTTTTAGACCCCATAAAATTATTAATTTCATTAAATACCCCTTGAAAAAAGTTTAAAAATTAGCAAAAACACCCCCACGACCCATACTTGCCACATTCCGGCAACCATAGTCGGTGGTAGCCGGAATCTGTACAAGGGCCTACCTGCCGACCAGAAATCGCCAGAAGTTCACTGATCTAGCCTTTTCCAGCCAGATCCGTGGTGGATCTGGTCGGAAAAGGCCATAACAATGTGTTACGACACAGATCTGATCGGTCTGTGTCGTAACGCGATTTTTCGGCCAGATTCTGGCAGTGGTGGCCGGAATCTGGCACTGCAGGTGGTGGGGGTGTTTTTGTCATTTTATATATTAGAGTGTTTAATTAAATTAGCAAACCTAGGGGCTTTTTCATAAATTTTTAAATTTTAGCTCGTAATACTTCCCTATCCAACTACCCAATATTATTCCCAAAATTGTATCCAAAATAATAAACCAAATGCACCCTATATATCTTTGTAACTGTATGTTTACAAAACTACACCCATCAAGCTTTGAAAAGCGCTTCTTATATCAGCAGAACTATAACAACTGTACTGATTTAGTGATTTGGAGACTCCAAAATTAAAATCAGTGCTTGCAATGACTACAGTTGAGGTTAAAAGTTAAGGTTTTAGAGGAAATATGTCAAATTTTAAGCGGGGTTCAAAATTTATATTCAATGTACCTGTCACCATTAGGTCCACTAGAATCATAAAGTAACACTTTGATCTTAGTCCAAGGGCCCTTAGTGTTCATTTTTACTTTTTAGTTTTTAGGGATCAAAGTGTTACTTCTGATTCAAAGATATCTAAGTGTTTCTTAACCTAAATTGCAAGGGACTATATAATTAAACTAGAATCAGAAATTAACACTTTGATCCTATCCGAGGGATGTAGATGTGTTACTTTCTGATTTTACATGGACTAAAGTGTTGAGTGGAACTAAACTTAACCTAAAAACCTCATAGACCTAAATTGATTATCCCATTAGATTGGGTAAGTGATTTACATTCACTAGAATACCCCCGAAGGTTTAGTCTAGTGAAAGGGAGCTCATTCAGTCTTAGCAATGTCTTAGATTCTAGTCTCCACCGTCAAACTTTGATCCTTACAGAATCGGAAAACTTACATTAACTAGAATCGGAAAGTAATACTTTGATCTTTGTTTGAGAGACCTTAAAGTGTTCGCGAATAGGGATCAAAGTGTTAACTTCTTGATTTGAATGAACCCAAGTGTTACTTAAGCTAAACCTTATAGAACCTAAAAAAAAAAAATCCCATTTAGATGGGCAAAAGAGGAAAAAAAAAAAAAAAAAGTAGTAAAAAAACAAAATTAAAAAAAAGGGGGGTAAAAAGTAAGTTGTAAAGAAAAGGTTGTTGTTTTATGTGATTAAAGGTTACTTTAGAGATAGTGTTTGAATGGGTAAGGGCCACATTGTCACATGGGTTCTGACATTTTATGTATCTGGGCACCACTCACTCCTTTCTCTTTCAATCTTTTAACCTCATTCATTCAAAGTTTTTATTATTATTTTTTAAATTTTGATTTTATGGGTTTTGGTGCCCTTGGGTCTACATGTGCTGCTATATTTTGTTACCTTGCTTCCCCTCCAACTACATTTAAAATTTCTTGGCCCCTCATTACTTGAAGAAACTTCTGTGAGAGTTGAAGGCAGCAAAAATATTGAGCCATTGTTAGTGGTGGTTGAGAGATTTTTTGAGCCTTATTTAGCTTCATTTGCAACATGTTGGCTTCATGATTTTGCCATTCTCTATTTTGTTTGATCCTTGTTTGTTTTTTGTTATCTGGGTTTGCTTGTTTTATCACTTAATAATTTTTTTTTTAAATAATTCAAATTAAAAACTATAGAAGATTGTGAAAATGGTTTTCATCCGTTTCCTGATTTTATAATAGATTTTAATATTGTATTCTAAAAATATTTCGATTCGTTTTTACCAAATATATTTTTATAAGATTTTTTTATATCTTTCTTTTTAGAAACAAAAGTAGTGTATTTAAATTTTATATCAAATAGGAATGATTTTTTAATATTTCAGATTACAAGATCAACAGTATGGGAAGACTTTGAACTACAGTCTTGTTCCTACTTGTCCAATAATAGAGATTTAATGAGAGTCCTATGGGGGAAACATCCCTAGGTCTTGGCTCATTGAGCTTGTAAAGCGTTTAATAGATTTCGAAGATTAGTTGAGGTATGTACAAGCTGGTCCGAACACCTTAGTTATAAAAATAAAAAATAAAAAATCCCTAAGTTTAAAACATTTCATTGATTACTAATATAGGTTGTTATGAAAAACGACTTGTAAGATTTAATAATAAACTTATAGCGTGTAACTATAACCTCGTAATATCGAACAACGAATTTATTAAAAAGTGACGTATAAGTTAAAACGTCATATTTACAGATAACGTTAAAATAACTATTTCGATTTCGATATTACAAATCTTATATTGAGGCGATAATTACACTCATTAGTCTTATAATATAATCCTTGAATAAGTTGCAATGTCAACATCTTGAAACCTCATTGTCAAGCTAAATAGCTGGCCACAACCTCAATCAAGTAAAAAGCCCTTCATATTGGTATCTATATTGCTTAACAATTTTCCAATTGGGCAAAGAAAGCAACATTGTTGTTTGTCATATTTTCTCAATCATAGGGAATGGCCCAAGTTAATTATCTTTTAAAGATTTGTTTATTGGGGTAATTAGGGGCTAATAGCACCCATCATTTTCGCATAATGTATTGGATTTTTGTGTTAATTGATTTGTCTTCCTTGTTGATTTTGATGGCCATTGCTTTGGTCTTTGCCTCTTTTTAAGTAGATAATGTCATTGGGTCTAATAATTGAAGACTTAGTATTGATTTGTTTCCTTCTTGCCCTTGAGGTTTGGCTGAATAACACAATCTGAAATAACAAATTATCCCCTCGCGTTAATATTCCATTAGGGTTTCTGTCATCTTACAAATGCATATTACTCTTTAGTCGTTAAATTAAACACTAAAACTCAAATAGTATAGTAACAATAGGAGGTAAATTATTAGTTTCGATATTGAGGAAAACTTTATTTATCCAAACATTTTCAAGTACTAGGGCAAGTGACGCTTCAAATCACTCATCTATAGGTAGTCCACATGGTTAGAACGAATTAGGGATAGAGTGGATATGTACACAATCTCGAGTTCGATTCCTCATTTGAACATCCAAGATTTAAGTAAAAAGCTGTGATGATGGTAGGTTACTATGCTAGTCTTCCCCGAAGATTAATCAATGTGCGTTTAAGTTGGTTCGAACATCATTTAACTAAAAAGTAACCGAGTTTTATATTATAATTGATGTTGTTGTAATTTTATGTTAAATATTACAAGTCTATCGTTATTATAATATTGTCAAGAGATAAAAATATTCAAAAAAATCTTGACGTCACCAAAGGTGAAACTAGTTGTGAGATAAAAGTTAGGATTAAAGAGGATTTACCTACCATGTAAAAATGGAGATTGAAAACAATGTTGCTTTGCAAAGTTACCAAGATGATTGTTAGCACTAAATTAATAGTAATTCAATTGAATATATAAACAAAAGAAAAAAAAATATATCATATACTTAACTTTAATCAGAATTAAAATGGGTATTATTATTTAGAAGATATTTTATTTTTATTTTTTAAATAAAATGGGCTTTAATAATAATAATAAATAAATATTATGAGTATTAATAATAAAATGGCCCACACCACAACCAGAAATGGCCGGTAGTTTACCAATCTGGCCGTCAGTGACGGCCAAAGATGGACTTCTTTGGCCTTTTCCAGCCAAATTCGTGGTGGATTTAGCTGGAAAATGCCATAGAGAGGAGTTACGACACAGATCCGACCGGTCTGTGTTGTAACACAATTTTTCGGCCAGAGTCCAACAGTGGTGATCGGAATCTGGCACTGCGAGTGGTGGGAGTGTTTTTGTCATTTTATATATTGAGGTGTTTAATTAAATTAGCAAACCTAGGGGTTTTTTTATAAATTTTTAAATTTTATCTCGTAATACTCCCCTATTCAACTACCCAATATTATTTTCAAAATCCTATCTAAAATAATAAATCAAAGGCACCCAATAAGATTATTAATGAAGCCATGATTTGCACTTCTTTATAAGGGGACCCAATTTAGTTATGATTCTAAAGGGAAAGTGTGAGTGTATGAGATGAGCTAATGCTTAAGAAGTATTAATCATGATTAATCCAAAGGACAATAATATTCAATTAAAAGGAGCCTTTCATAATCATGTAAAGGGAGATAAAAAATTAATTAATTAATTAGAATAAAATTTCTATGCAATAATTGTTTCCCCGCTTAATGTGCTCATAGACTATTTTCACCATTCAAGCAAAAGAATTTTGTTATATTATAATTTAATAATTTATTTTTAATATTGTTTACAATCAAGTTTAAAAAGGGTAAGATTTAAGACTAAAATAAACAATATTTACTCGGCTAGACTTAGATGGTTATGCAGTAGTAACCTTAAAGACTGGGGTTTATTCTAGGAGACTCACTGAACACCCTACAAACTCAGATGGATATGTACTAGTAACCTTAAAGACTGGGTTTATTCCAAGGGACTGATTGAACACTCTACAAGCCAAAATGATTATTCACTAGT